ATGACGTGACCAGGGGATCAACTAGATACACCTTGATGTGTGCCCTTTAATGGACCATTGCAGCATTCGAGAATGACACGAAATTAGTGACATGCAAAAAGGAAACTCATATGCAAGGCAACAACCACGATGTGGAAAAATGCAAGTCCCCTGGCTTATTCTTCCTAGTGTAAACACCTCGGGCATAAATTGCGGAAGGGTACATAACCAAGGCATTGGGTGGCAAAACAAGATGCGGGGTGCGCAGGACGTACTCAGGATGGCTGTACGTTATCTAAGAAACCTCCAGGAATGTTTTGATTGGTACAGTATAATGTTATTGAGGCGTGCTATAAAGTTCCACGCAGTCGGTTATTATCATAGCTTTCGCATTGCAAAATTTCTGGCTTTGGATTGTGATTGATGAAAGCATAATTTTCGCAAAAAGGCAGAGAGCTATATTTATTGGTGTGGTATTTTAGTGGGAGGACACTATTCATAGCCTGCATATAACCTTTGTTTTATGTCATCTGCCTGGTACCTTTTTCGTCAACAACAAAGATAGCTGAATAAATAGTATAATTCATAACTCGTTTGTAATACGAGATTAATGAGAACAACAAAAAGCGTTCAGAGAAGAAATGTTGCGGCTTTGCAGTCAGTCTGACTCTCTCGTAACCAGAAGCCAATCGTCCGTCCTCCGCGAGCGCCGGTTTTGGGCCGCCATCTCGCTGTCACGTGGCCTGCCACACCACGTAGTCAGCGTCAGGCCATCACCACGCATAAAGTGCTGCAGTTTCCTGTAATAAAACTGGGAATGATTTTGAAGTGGGTCAGGGCTTATCGAGATATTGTGCGGATGTCCTTCCAAAAGCAATATATTTTTAAGCATTTTTTTCAGGTGCAAGTAAGCCGGAGTATTATTTGGGTTACGCCAACACTCCCGAAACATACTTCGTCATTGGCTCTTAGCGTCGGAATGAATGCAAACTTAAATCATTGTCGAAGGATGTAAGTTAAGGATTGTGTTCAATACTGCAGTTCAAAACCCTTTGACCTCATCAATTTCGGAGAAAATCACACAAATCATGTATGCAGCGGTCTACAACGGGGAGCCCTATTGTTACGATAGTACAAACATTTTCACGCCTTGAATGATGTAAATGATCAATTCATGTTGACATTTTAGATATGAACAGTATTACGGCGGCCGATTCTGCACACAACATGGTGGCATCAGAAGCACACTTTGCAACTTTGTTTTGTGCGCATGGAGATATTGCCGGAAAAGTACTGCTGCCATTATACTTCTGCCACTTTGATCCCCCTCTTTCTGGAACAACTTCAGCCTTTGTAAGAAAAAAGTGCAATCTTCTCAAAAGAGGTGTAACCGTGGAATTTGAGCACAAAGCAATGACCCAAAGCTGCAGCAAAACCAGGTACAACCATATAACACGTGACGCTTCTTCGTTGCTGCCACGTGCTATAATCGAAAGCAGGACAAACGCAATTTGACGCGTGGCTTTATGACATATGAGTGTGATATGATGCGACTGCGTAAAAACTGACTCATAGAGAAGACACTTGAAGTCATAACACCACCAGAATAGCAATCGGTCTGCTGCGTAATGAATAACAGTAAGGTTCAACTTCAAAATTTCATCCAGCAAAAGGGACAAACATTCAGTCATGTTTCCCGAGACGGTACCGAACTTCCTTTGTCCTTTCTTGAGCTATTGTTTGTTCAACAGTCTAGTGCAACAGTGAACAACGAGTTGTGAACCTAGCAAATAAACTGTACGTATGACTTAAAAAATTAACTTAAGTCTTGCTGTTCCCGGGATATAGGGATTATTTACGGTTAAAGTCGGACGTTGATGAGCTGCACGCAAACTCCTATAAACAGATGGCTTTATCTCACTTGTTAACCGCAGGCATGGCCAAAGCCATAAATGTACGACCTACAGCTAGCAATTCGGCATGAGGAATAGGTCTGAGATGTGGAACTATCTTTCTATAGAAGAAGTATAGTATAGGAGAACGTTCTATTCCAATCTTGGAACTTTCCAGGATCCTATAGCTAACAACTCGATATGAGGAATACTTCTATGATATGAATCGTTCTGTTCCAATCTTGAAATTTTCCGGCATCCAGAGAGTATGGATTGTACGATCCGGCAATGATGGGATAATATATTTCGCGACCACGGCATCCCGCGTCTAAGAATCCGCACCGGGAAAGAGTTCCACGTCCGGAACGCACGGTGATGCTATATGTCCACTGTGTTTTCTGATGGCTGGTGTCTTTTGGTGTATGTTTTATATGCTAATACATTAAAGACAATGAAGTTGCGGAATTCTCCGAACCGGTCAACAAAGAACGGCGGACATCTCAGATAAGCGCTCAGACTTTGTTCATTCTTGGATGCCCGCAGTGCTTCTGAGTCCAGTTCTTCTTTCCCCCTTCGCTATACATTTTTAAGCAAAACTGTCTTCTGATGAAAGCAACAGTAATATCGCTTTTCATAACAGCAAGAATTTTTGTAACTGTTCCAGGCATTTCAGACATGTAAACAGGAATACCTCCTTTTGACTTAAGGTCACAGCATATATTTGTGGGTTACCACAAGGAAATGCTTTGAGGAACTTCACCCTCAATACCTCTCACAGTTGCCGTTATTCGAAGTTTTTTCGGCACGTCTCAAGTGTTCTTGTGATATGTCAGTCTAGTGTTGAGAGTGGTTCCTAAAGCGTATTAACACCGCTCTTCCTCGGCATGTGAAATGAAATGTGGCGTGACGAGATACAATTTGCATAGAACCTAAGGCTTTACACGCTGATGGTGTGATGACCATTTGTGACAGTTTTGATCAAGGGTGAGCGACTTTGCACTCGAACCGCGTATAAGCTATAAGCGGTAAAATAAAAGGGTAGGGACTCCACTCATTCCGGTTTACTTTAGACTACAAAACATTTATTCGAATGACATAATCTCCTCGCCTGGCAGTGATCCACCTGACAGCGATAGAAGAGGTAGGCGAGAGTAGGAGCGGGCGTCAAACAAGCGAAACGAGAATAGGAGCGGAAGTCGAACGAGCGAGACGAGCGACGTAGCGAGCGCAGGACGAGCGAGACCTAGCCAGGTGGGAGACTACTGCTCCGGAATCCCACCTGCCCAGCGGTGCAGTCTACCCGGGACGGCGCAGGCGGCGCAGCCTTACCTGGACCAACCGACGGCTGATTGGCCCGAAACGCCCCGCGGCGTTTCGGTTAACGGACACGTCCAACACAAACACATACCGCGCTTACGGTTCTTAGTAATCAACCAGTCGCTCCTTTAGAAGGCAGCTGGCCAGTGGTGGTAGAACTCTGTAGAACCATTTTCGAAGCTTGAAAAAACATGTTTAATCTGTGGTACACGAAACAGATATTTCCCTGGATTTTCATCAGCTCATTTTAATAGGATTGTCGTATGGACACGACAGGTGACACATTATTTGACCTACAAAGGAGGACAACTCCAAAATATCAGGGGCATTGCAATTCAAAGCAATTCCCACACAGACGTCAGAGCTGATGGTCCATAAGCTTACGCGTTGCATTACCGTGCCATTCTCCGGGGTGTCAGCATTAGACGAATCACTCAGATTCAGCGCTGTGATTGATCGATCAACTTGCCTGATCTTCGTCACGTAACGTGAACGGCAACGTTTCCATTGAGAGTCTAAGACTATACTGAACTAGTTTTCTTTTCACACAGTAGCAGGCCTTCATCACGAGATGCGCGGTAGGATTAGCTTCCTGGTAGGAAATGTTCATTTCATCAGCATTCTTTGATTCGGGAAAACGCTTTTAAAACGTTTCCAGTTTTCAGAGACCAGCAGAAGATTCGCCATGTTTTCATAAGGCCCTTCTCCGCTGTCCCCATACTAGCGGGAAAATCACCAGAATTTATCATGAGAAAACATGTCCGCTTCTGGCCCCTCTCGTTGTCGCCAACCATACTTTTGCGTGTGCATAACAAATCTAATGAGCACCTCAGTGAGGCTAAAAGCAAGACGTGACACACCTCTCTCGGAGACCACATCCCGCCACACGACCCAACGGCAGCATAACTTTTGAGATACTTAAAATTTCCATAGTTTGCGTGATCGGAACTTTATCGGAGCTTTACAGGCTACGTACACAAATAAGGAATTAATCGCAATTCCAAAGCACGAACGTCTCTGAACGCCCGAACGTCCTATCCGCTCTTTATTTCCACTTCTTTTCCCCATGCGCTAGCGCTTTTTTGTCTATGCTTTTGTGAAATGTGTGACTTGTTATTCGCGCGATGTGCACGTGTATGACATGTTAAGTGTTAGTTTATTCACTCTGGTTTCCAACCGTAAAACATAAGCCTTAAGTTAATATCACTTTCCAATGTGCGTACTTGACAAAAAAACTACGTCACTTACCGTATCCACAAACAGCTACTTCTATACAGAATTGCATTTTTTCAAATGCCCATCCCATCCTACTCTAGCGCTCAGAACATGGCCCCAAAGAATTGATCCGCAGAACACGGTGATCGTTGCTCGGTTGCTCCGACTCATCTGGCAGGCACCGCAGGCAAGAGACCAGTTAGGACGACCTCATCCGCTTAAGACATCGGGATTACGGGTCCCTGGCACAGCGCTCACCTGACCCTCACGGAGCATCGAACACAAGTGACCGCTCACCGTCCCACCACCCGTACAGGACACCGTAGTCAAGCTCAGCAGGCATTTTTAGTTCTCAAAAGGGGTGCAACGCACCCCATCACGCCCGTTTTATGGAGCACCAGCGATTGCATGGGCCATCTTAGAGCTAAGGGGTCATGGTGCAACCGAGACCCGAACCCGGGCCCTATGGAAGAGTACGCCATGTTAACCACCCGGCCATCACGCCCCACCCAACACCCATAATACTAACTAAACTTCTCAGAGCATCAACAACGGCCTCAGTGTGTGCTCACCTGTACAAAACACTGGTAGAAGGCATCAGCTGCCAGGTGCCGGATAGACACTCTTGCAGACGGCCATGCCCTGCTCCTCCTCCATCCTCCAGGCGGAGAAGGCGGAGCTTAGCCTGTCATAAGGCAGCGGCAGCGGGCCGTCGCCGCTGCCGTGCAGCACGCAGTACAGAAACTCTATGTAACGAGACGCCAGCCGCAGCGTCTGGATCTTGGACAGCTTGTCGGAGGGCAGCGTCGGGATGATCTGGCGCAGCTCATGGAAGGCCGAGTTGAGCAGCTGGGTGCGGTGGCGCTCGCGGTTGTTGGCCATCTGCCGCTGCGAGTGCAGCTCCTGCAGGCTGACGCACGCGCTGGCGCGCCGCTTGCTACGCAGACTGCGCTCGCCGGCGCGCTGTCGCGAGCGCGTCGCCGGCTGCGTCGGCGAGCCCCAGGCGGCGTCCGGGCGGTACGCCACGAGCGTCGCGCCGCCCGTGGCCGTGTACTGCAGCGGCGCCTCGGCCAGCCCGCGGCCTCCGGCCTCCGGCGACGGCAGCTCCTGCTTCACGGCCAGCCGCCCGGCCGGCGCCAGCGGTGCGCTGTGCATGGCGTGCTCCGTGCGACCCCTGCCGTCGGTAGTGCGCCTACACGCGACGGCGCCTTACCGCGCTCTACCGCCGGCCGGCCTGCGGCGGCGTGCGCGGCCTGGCCGACCGCCAGCGGCCCGCCCGGCCCCGGGCGGGGGGCGGGGCGTCGCGCACAGGCGACCATTCAGCGCACTTTTTGCCGCGGTCCTCGCTGAAGCCGCTTAAATTGCGCTGCCATAATGAGGTGGGCCTCTGAGGGAGGGTAAGGGGGCGCCGCCGTCCCTCGGCCAGGCGACACGGTGTGCTATTACACTCGGACAGAGGGGGGAGGGGACGAGTTATAGACTGCGACATGACGATGAGAGCCCACATTTCGCAAAATCCACTTGAGAGCGGAGCACGGACCGTGTGTGTTGGCACACGCGCCTCACGAGTCACGGCTGCACTAATTGGGACGGTGAGATAAAGTGATACAAGCGCGCACAAAGGCGGTGGAACCGCAGGCAAGATGGCGTCGGAAAACCGTGGCAGCACTCCAGCGGGCGGGCTCATCTCGGGTACCTTGCATTAGCAGTCGGAGGGCGTCCGTCAGCCGGGCTAAAGTGATCGGCCCAGCTGAATTTGATCCAGACATGTTCGGTGACTACCGCATTAAGCTGCCGCGTAGTATTCTTACCTTGCCTGCAGCACTCAGCATGAGTACCTAATCACCCGCACCAAAATGACGCCGTCGTTTAACATTCTTCTTCTGAGATATTTTTCTTTTCTTGTCGTTGAAATTGTACGCCTAGGGTGAAAACCAAACCTGCGGATATACTTAACACTGCACGCGTAGGAAAGGAGAGGCCTGGTGGCCGGTAACTCATCCACTTTTCACGACGGTTTACCATAAGTCACGTAGTAATGCATGTCAACAATTGGTTTCAAAACAGATCGCCCCCATCCCCAGTTATCGCGACGTTCCTGCAGCCCTTTCTCCACCAAATTTCATCCGTTTGCAACTTTTTGTGAAAATATGCTGGCGTGCTAACCCGCGGATGGGCGCTGGGCAGCGGGGAGTTGATGTTTGATAGTTCATCTCCTCTGCCTTTAATAATGTATGCCGTGCTGAAAGAAGTCATGATTTTCCACGACACCTCAAAATGCTCATTTCTGTACTTTTTACAGCCGGATAAAAGGCAAACTTGGTGCAGACACCACACACATCTGATTTGCTGTTGTTTTGACCGCAACTGAGAGCCCAACGACCATACCAGACGAGATGGCCCCGAAACATTTTGGAAGCGCGTTGCATGGCACATCTCTTCCGCTCCCAGATGCCATTTTATGTTGTATTTTTTGTTCTAACACATTACATGGCCAACAAGTGGGAAGGTGGCGCTCAGCCCTTTTCCTTGCTTGAAAACCAAAGCACCTCTCCGTGGTTTCCCTCTGAGAAAATAACTCTCATTTCCATGCGAGTAGTCGCAAGCAAAGCATTCAAGGAATATGCCGTATCGACTGAAGTCGCCAGAGTTGTGTGACATAGAAGGATCGCTTTATGCCTCGCCAGCTTCCGTATCGCAGGAGGCTGGTACGACGGCATCTTACCGATTACGTATCCACCGTCCAGCAGAAAAAACTCGTGCTCACATCAGGTACCTCAGTACCTGATGTGACACTTTTGAATAAACCATTTTGTGGAATGCCCAAGCTTTGTTTTTGCGCTCAGGTTTGGGTCTCGTAATTTCGGTATTAGCATGAAATCAAAATATTGCGCCATAACTTTCTTGCCTCGGGTTTCCACTCTGACAGACTAAAGCTACCGAGACTGTCATGTATTACTTAGCGTTGACCACCGCGCCTGGAGCATAACATTGGTTTATGTGACCAAAGCATAGCATTGGCTACTGTGGCCCGAGCATAACTCTGGTTTCTGTGACCAAGGCATGGTATTGGCTACGGTGGCTAGAGCGCAATGCTGGTTACTGCGACCAAGGCATAGCATTGGCTATTATGGTCGAAGCATAACGCTGGCTACTGTAACCGAAGCGCAACATTGGCTAATGCGACCGGAGCACGGTATTAGCTACTGTGGCGAAAGCATAATGCCGGTTACTGTAACCGAAGCGCGACATTGGCTAATGCGACCGGAGCACGATATTGGGTACTGTGGCCAGAGCATAACTCTGGTTACTGCAACCGAAGCGCGACATTGGCTAATGCGACCGGAGCACGGTATTAGCTGCTGTGGCCAGAGCATAACACTGGTTACTGTAACCGAAGCGCGACATTGGCTAATGCGACCGGAGTACGGTATTAGCTACTGTAGCCAGAGCAAACGCTAGTTACTGTTACCGAAGCACGGCATTGTCTACTGTGGCCGGAGCACAACGCTGGTTACTGTGACCGAAGCATGCCATTGGCTACTGTGGCTGCAACATAACGCTGGTTACTGCGACGGAAGTATGGTATTGGCTAATGTGACCAGATCATAACGCTGGCTACTGTGACCAAAGCATCACATCGGCTAGTGCCACCGAAGCTTGGCACTGTCTGAAGCCGATGGAATGTGATACTGGCTACTGTAACCGAAGTATGACAATGGACACTGGTAACTGTAACCGGAGTATGATACTGGTAACGGTGACCGGAGTATGGCACTGGTAACTGTGACCGGAGCATAGCACTGGTAACTACGATCGGAGCATAGCACTGGTAACTGTGACCGGAGCATGACACTGGTAACTGCAATCGGAGCATAGCACTGGTAACTGTGACCGGAGTATGGCACTGGTAACTGTGACCGGAGCATAGTACTGGTAGCTGTGACCGGAGTATGGCGCTGGTAACTGCAATCGGAGCATAGCACTGGTAACTGTGACCGGAGTATGGCACTGGTAACTGTGACCGAAAGCATAGTACTGGTAGCTGTGACCGGAGCATGGCGCTGGTAACTGTGACCGGAGTATGGCACTGGTAACTGTGACCGGAGCATAGTACTGGTAGCTGTGACCGGAGCATAGCGCTGGTAACTGTGACCGGAGCATAGCACTGGTAACTGTGACCGGAGCATGGCACTGGTAACTGTGACCGGGGCATAGTACTGATAACTGTGACCGGAGCATAGTACTGGTAGCTGTGACCGGAGCATGGCGCTGGTAGCTGTGACCGGAGCATGGCACTGGTAACTGTGACCGGAGCATGGCGCTGGTAACCGTGACCGGAGGGCTACTGTGACCGAAGCATTGCACCGGCTAACGTGACCGGAGCATGACACGATGCTGGTTGTTGTGACCGCCACACTGGGGGGGGGGGGGGGGGGGGGCGGCGCCGGACTGCCCGGTGAGTTGTGACTAACGTCGCCCCATCAGCTCCCCCGGCTCGGACCGGCGCGGCTGCTGCCGCCGTCGCAGCCGCCGCTCTGTTTATTCAGGTGCGCGCGGAGAAGCTGAAATCCAAACTGAGCGCGACTCCCACGGCCGTACGGTCGTGATTCAGCGGCGGCGCCTGCCGGCGGTCGGCAGCGGCGGCCGCGGCGCCGCTGACGGCGGCCACCAGTGCCGCGTGCGCGGCTGACGGCCCGGCGCAGGTGCGTCGCTAGCGCCGGACACCGCCGGTCAGGCGTGCAGCGACGCCGCCTGTCAAGTGCGCACTTCCAGAAGCATCGGAACACTCCGCAACAGCGGAAGTCACGTGCTGAGTTCCGGGTGTGGGCCAATAAGCGAGACTGCTCGTCTACTGGTACTGGGTAAAGAACCGCTGCCGTTCTCAGGCTCAGACAAGGTCTGCGCTTATTCTTAGACTCAGAGAATTCCAGCTCTTGTTTTCAGGCGCATAGAAAGTCTGTTTCTGATTTCAGATACAAAGGAAGTCCGCTTCCCTTCTCAGGCTCATATTAAGTCTGCTTCTGCTTTGGGTCCGGAGAGGAGCAGCTCCTGGTGGTAAATTAGAGACGAATGGAGCTGCACCCGATTGTATAACCTCAGGAGAGGCTCACTCCTGTCCTGATATCATTGGAGGCAGTCTGAATGTAAAAACAAAAATCAAGCACACCGCCCGACACTTTGGTACCGGGGGATTCAAAATATGCAGACTATTTGGAAATTCGTAGTTTTTCTTTGCAACATTTGATTTTGTGTTAGTTTCTGACGGGTTACGTTTGCCAGCATATTGGTCCACGGTGTTCCACTGTTCACCGGTATCCTTCATGTCCTTAAATAGCGGGTTCGCGAACGATGTAATCTGCTAGTACAATCTACTTATAACGACATTGTAAAGACGCGAGATGAAAATTGTATTGATATATACATACATACATAAATATATGCGTGCATATATATATATATATATATATATATATATATATATATATATATATATACATATGTATGAGTGCGTCCAAATTTTCAAATAATGTGTAGTATTTTGCTGAACTAGGTTTAAAGGCTACATACCTACGTAGTGAGAAAGTAGAAAATGGCGTACATAACAAATTTGGCGCATCTTTGAAGGCAATGGGAGCCATTATAAAAAAGAGTGTAATATTTCACTGAGTTCATTTTACCGGCTACGGTCGGGTCAGCTGGATCGTGCCGGCCATGTTGCAGGGGCTGAAAAGTCTCCAATCAGTGGTTATATGGCAGCCTCGGCCCAAAACGTCCGTCGCACTTATTTCAAGAAAATGGGTGTTGGCATAAAAGCCCACAGATGGCTTGTTTTTACCGCCCTTCTCAGACCGCGTTTTTGCAATTTATGAATCCCATGTTCCACCAACCGCCTGCGCGCGCCGGCCGCCTCCGAGGCTCGGTGGTTTCCAGCGGCACCTCTGTTTGCGGCGGGGACGCGCGCATTCTTGCGTCTTCCCCTGAAATAAATGGATCGCCGTCAAAGGGGGGGACGCGGCCGGTGCGCGGCTCCGGTGGTTTCGAAGCGTCGGCGGAGCGCGGCCCGGTGACGGAGTGTTTGTTGCATTCCGTGACGGCGCTGAGCGTCACATTAGCGATGACCGTGTCAGAGTGGGGGAGGGGGAGCGCTTCCGGCCGCGCCGACTGGAGGAGGCGTGTTGTCTCAGCCAGCGGCGGCCGCCGACATGAAAAGGTGGCGCCGCCGCCGCTGCCGGGGGCGGCGTGTTGTTACAAGCGCTTAATTAGAGCACGCGACACCGGATGGAAAATTAAATTGTGATCATCGACGCTGTTTTTCTGACAGCTAACGAGGACACATGTGCGCGTCTCCTTCTCCCCTCCCTTGCACATAACCAATCCTGAAACGACCGCTCCTGCGGCGTAAAAACGCTTGATGAGGGGATGGAACACAAATCAAAATGCATATCTATGTTCTGTCCTTCCGTGACGCTTGTTCAAGTTGTGCCTTTATGCCAGTCTTCTAATGAAATTGACAGTTTGTCTTTTACCTGGATTCGTAATTGTTATTCGACAGCTGTTTGACACGGCGAGCCATAGATAAGTCATAAGTAAAAGTACGCAAAGCGAAAATAGGCAAATGTCAGCATCTCACCCAACAATTTATTTTGGTTCAAACCACTGGTCACAGCTCAATTCCAAAAGTCTCGGATTGTCGCAAGACTGTGACATCACTTGAAAAGACGGGGACAGCAAACGAAGCCACATGTCCACCAACTCTGCAGCGGGGGAGGGGGGAGGGGGTGTTGCCTGAAACCTGTACCGTTGTCATTGATCGGTGCCGATAGTTACG